CTTCTTCGATTCCGGTGAAAACATGCTAAGCTTTCGTCATATGACGGACGAAAGCGTAGCATGTTTTCACCGGAATCGAAGAAGATTGCCTCGGAAACTGCGTCAGCATGAACCTTCCAGTAAAGCCAATCGACAACTGGTCAAGAGGTATCCGCCATCGTCTTCTGGTGGAACCGAACTTCGAGTCTCTTCACCCAACACTTTCAATCGAAATGGAAGTAAGGTCAACAATTCTTTCAATTCGTTGGTTGTAGCCTTGTTTCTGGAAACGCATATCGAAATTGCCTTCTTATCCAAACTTAGCGTAAATAGCCCCAGCATGACTCCCGTTCAGAACTTTTGGCTTAAGACACCGTCGCCCAGTTCTCGAACATGCTGCGGCTAGCATCATCACACGATGACGGTGGTATGAAAGACCAAGCCTCATAACGGATTGTTCAGGATGAGGTTAGAATGCATCAACGGCTGCGGCCTCCAAACGAAGTGCCTTCCGAGCAGTTACAATTCGACTCACCTTCGTGATTCGATGAGCCCATCTAGGAAGCCATTTCACATCAAAGACAAATTATAGAAGCTTGCTTTGCACACGGGCCGATCGTGTTATGAGAATGTCAAGTGGTGTTTCTGCAGCGGAAAATCCTATGACAATAGTGCAATATAGAAGGAGGCACAACAACAGAGATAAAACGCACCACAGAGTTTACATCAATCTAAGCCTCTCGATGAATATGACCCATTTGCGTCGGCGAGATCAAACCAACAATTTGAACTAACCACTTTTGTGGGTCTGACAAAGAAACACCAAAGCCAACTCTCACTCATATTAATAGCAAGATAAAGGAGTCAGAAATGTGATTAATGCGTTGTAAGTACTGTCTTTATTGCTTTTGCTACCAACTTGTGATGACTAGAAACACTCTACAAATTGGTGTATGATACCTTAATTATGGCCGACATAAAAAGCACACATACAATGTTATATTAAGTGGATAATAATTTGTTAATCCTCTTGGCATAATGTTTAACATAGGCTTGGCTCAGATGCACACAGATGCCACAGCCGCGTAAAATTACAACAGATCCGATGGGCAATCTGGCAAGTTCAGATGCTGGCCATACCAAACAGATAAAAAGATAATATGATGACCTTCTCTTGCATCTACACCAGGAAGTTAATACTTTTTTTGGCCAAAATGAGGAAAAGGCTGAGAGTAAAGGAGGTAGGAAGAAAGAGAAGAAGAAAAATCAGGAAGAAGATGAGGAGCAGAAGGAGTAAAGTGAGAAGGAGAATTAGGAGTAGAACGAGTAAGTAGAAGAGGGAGAGAAGAAGGAGGAGGAGGAGGAGGAAGAGGAAGAGTGGGACGAGATGGAGGTGGAAGCTCTCGCTGATATAATCATTGGAAAGATAAGCAATAAAGTGGAGTGATTATTTGTAAATGTGAAATGACGAACAATTGAGCATGAAAATTCTACTAGAATAATGAGGCTTTATTGGCACTTGATTGATATTAGATTCCCCTTTGTCAGCGGGATTCTTTCACCTCTTTTCTACACACGAAATTATTTAATTTTTCATTCGCGTACACCTAAAGCAAGTTTTTTAACCTATTTCACAATATCCGCCTGTATCCAATGTCATAACACATGGTCTCCTTTTATATGTCATCTCTTGTACACCCCATGTCTGAACTCAGTCTACCTCAGTCAGGACAGTTTCTTGGGATAGGCGAGACCTGAGAGTCGCCTCATTCCAGAGCACTCATCCTAACCCGGTTTTAGGGGAGAGGGGTGGAAGCGGAAATCAGGTTGAAACTGGGAGTTAAACTCAGCATAACTTTCCAAAAAGCGTCAATTTGCGAAGATGCTCAATTTTCTGACGATTGGAGTTGTTCTAGCGACCATAATTTGGCGTGAAATGGGAAGGCCAGTAAATAAAGAGCTTGACAATTCAGCATGCTTGCCATTTTTTGCAAAATTAGGATGGTATAAAACAAGAATTCGGCTCTGTTTTAGCTTCTTCTCTGCCATAAAGTAAAAATGT